TATATATATATATATATATGTATGTATAATTTTAGGATGTTGTAAACTGGTAGTGCCCAGCAGTTAAAAAATTTAAATTTAATGGAATTGATCCTGATATGGAAAAAAATTAGACCGTAGTTTGGTGGGATTGTAGCAACGGGGATTAATGTCTGGATCCCCTAGTGATCACGGGTTTGCAGTCATACCAGAGGAGTTGGATGTCGTGCTAGTAACTGGCTCTAGTGAAGACCCAAGCCAAAAACAAAATGAACATGAGTCCACAAACATGTCAAATCTTCCTAGGGTGGAGAAAAAAGAAAAAAGGGAGCTGCATTCATTAAAAGTCAAATATAAAAAATGGTGGCTTCATGCACGATTAAGTTTAAACCTTCACATGCGAACTCCATAGACGACTTTATCCGAGTTCTGGAGGTAACTCCTGAAGTTTATGAGGACATGTCGTTATATTTAAACTCATTGAAGTTGCTGGAGGACCCAACTCGCAGACAACTCTTTGTGAAGATGGCCCATGAACGCATGGTCAATTATTTACGTTTTTTTTTACAGCAAGAAAGTTTTATTTTATGCAGTTATTGTTGTATTATTTGGATTTATTTTCTTGTAATTTTATCAAATTTCTGATTTAGATGTTTTTCTCTCTTAGGAATAATCTAATCTATATGTTATTCTATATTTAAGTAGTTTTATCAAATTTCTAATTTGAATGTTTGATTTTATGCTTTATGATTTGATTTTCGATATTTATTAATGTTGTTTGATTCAAATGTACTATCTGAACAGAGCACTTATTAAACATGGATTCACAAAATGAGAGGCACAGAAGGGAAATTGTGACAGTAGTTTGTTTGTTGTACGAATACTACAACTCATATGTTGATCAAACTCCCTGCATGACATCACTTTACATTGATGATAAATGGGTTGGGGAGCTACTAGAAGGACACCTTCCAAGATTCAACAGCATGTTTCTTATAACACATACTATACTTATGGATATGCTCGATGAACTATATATAAACCATGGACTTCATGACTCCTCAAGAATGACAACTAGAGAGGTGTTAGCAATAATTCTTTATATTTTGTCATAGAATGAATCAATAAGAGCAACGATAGAGCGATTTCAACATTCAGGAAACACGAGTTCAAGGATTTCAAATACCTCCCGAAGAGCGTTATGCCACTGTGGACTTCAGAGTTACATGTTGACGTCACGTCAGTCACATAGCTATGGAAGATAGTTCTATATGTGCCCGCGAAGAATCACAAAGAACTGTGATTTTTTCGGGTGGCAAAAATATTGAAAGATCCTACCGCTGAGAGTGAGCGGGCGTGGAGAGTATCCCTAGAGGATAACCTGTATCGTGAAATATGTCCTCTCAACTTTAAAAAGAATATTATCATATTACTAAATGTTATTTTAATAGTTTTTCCTCCATATTTTAATAATTTTTGTATTGTTCTGAATCACCATCTAGCTAGTTTGTCAATAATGAAGGCGGTCCTAGAATAATTATGCACAAGAGGGCGGCTGAGAACTCGTTTAATAGCCTCCGAGCATTCTTTTATATATAATATCAATATTACAATACTTGCACTTTCGGTAAATACAGCAGAAAACAATAAAAGAAAGGGGCATTTACATATACACCACTCAAATCTTATGTACTTAATATCTAACACCTATAACTTTATTTCTTAGCCCCGATAGAATGTAAAACGATGAAATTTAGGTGTGTTCAACATGTAAACACATAAGAGTTGAGTGATATGTATGAAATCTTCCAAAAATAAAAACCAAATTCTTTAATATATGCTTACTTCTTTGTACTACAACCAATAAATATGGTAAACTAACAAATTGTGGGTCTACTTGGGGCTCGAGCAGCAGACACCCTGGGTAGCTGCTGCGCATAAGCTGTTGCGGATAAGCTGACTGGCTTCATTTTATCCAGTTTGAAAATAACTATTTTGCAGTTGTTTATGGATAAATGTTCATTTTGTCTTTGTGCAGTAATGTTGTTTGCAACAAAACTATTATTGCAATATATTTGATATTTGACAAGAAAGAAAACCACTTCAGAACAATACAAAAAAATAAGATTATACATCACACTTCATTATCATAGTTATTAAAATATGAAGACAAAACAATTAAAATAACATTTAGTAATATGATAATATTATTTTTAAAGTTGAGAGGACATATTTCACGAGATAGGTCATCCTCTAGGGATACTCTGCACGCCCGTTTACTCTCGGCGGTAGGATCTTCCAGTCTTTTTGCCACCCAGAAAAAGTCACAGTTCTCTGTGATTCTCCGCGGGCACATGTAGAACTGTCTCTCATAACTATGTGGCTAACGTGACGTCAGCATGTAACTCCGAAGTCCACAGTAGCATAGCACTCCTCGGTAGGTATTTGAAATCCTTGCACTCGTATTTCCAGAATGTTGAAATAGCTCTATCGCTGCTCTCATTGATTCATTCTACGACAAAATGTAAAAGACTATTGCTAACAACTCTCTAGTTTACCATATTTATTGATTGTAGTACAAAAAAGTAAGCATATATTAAAGAATTTGGTTTTTATTTTTGGAAGATTTTCATACATATCACTCAATTCTTATGTATTTACATGTCGAACACACCTAAATTTCAACTTTTTACATTCTAACGGGGCTAAGAAATAAAGTGGTGTTAGATATTAAATACATAAGAATTGGATGGTGGTATATATATGTAGATGCTCCTTTCTTTTATTGTTTTCTATTGTATTTACCAAAAGTGCAAGTATTGTAATATTGATATGTATCTATGTGTGTGTCTTTATATATATAAGTCGAAGGCTATTAAACAAGTTCTCAGCCACCCTCATATGCATAATTATTCTAAACTAGTTAGAGGGGGATTCCTAAGGGGATTTACAAGCTTCAAAGAGACAGCTCTACCTACAGATCACGACTGACGACACACACAAACAAAAACACATTATATGATAGTTAGATAGAAATAAGAAGAAATATGAAAGATTTACATTAAATAATCATGTAAGATAAATAATTTATGCATATTTTTTGCTTTATTAATACGTCGTAGTATTTTTAAGCGTATAAATTATAGATTTATTAAATATTAACTTTTTAAGCAGTTCATGACTTCAATAGTTTTAAAATATTGTTGAAGGTGACTTGTGCCTCAATACCGAAACTTTTATTCCCGTTGGTAATGGACAATTAACGCACGCCGCATTCCAATGCATGACAGCCGTTAGATGAAATTTCGTCGACGAATCTACCGTCCCGATCTATTCGCGCTACCTCCCGTATCCGATGACGTAAGCACTGACATTTCATCTCCCAAAACCGGAACTCTCCAGAACCAGCCCGGCAGGCTCCGATCTCCACGATATAAACCCGCCTCGTCACAAACATTTGATCAAACCCTTGCCCTCATTTTTCTCTGAATCTAAAAAGAGTGAAAACAATGGCGGAGGAGAAGGGAGTGAAGCTGCTGGATCTCTGGTCCAGCCCTTTCGGGCAGCGATGCAGGATAACGTTGGCGGAGAAGGGGGTAGATTATGAGTACCTGGAACAGAACCTGTCGAACAAGAGCGAGTTGCTTCTGAAATCGAACCCGGTGTACAAGAAGGTCCCTGTTCTTTTACATGATGGGAAGCCTGTGTGTGAATCGCTTATAATTGTTCAGTATATCGATGAGGTATGGCAGGGCAAGTCGTCTATCTTGCCTTCTGATCCGTATGGAAGGGCGCAAGCTCGGTTCTGGGCTGATTACGTCGATAAGAAGGTATGAAATCTCTGTTTCTGTTGTCCTCCTTGTATCTTGATCGAATGCCAGCGATTGGGTTTTGGTTTACGTTGTTTTGATCGAAAACCAATATATAGTTTCAATGCGATGAAACTGTGGGAACGTGAACGTATCAGGAATTTCTTTTATAAGAATGTTAAAAAAAGAAAAAAAAACCAACTTTTTATATTCTTTGTGATGAATGCTATATTGGCAATATTATATAGTTTTCAAGTTCATCTACATCAAACTAAATAAGCTTGTTTTATATAACATTCTGCAGTCGGAATGCCAAACTTTTTGTCAAAGTTTCTTCATAGCTTCTTTTTGTGCAGTTCTTCGAATGTGGCACCAGGCTGTGGAAACAGAAAGGCGAGGCCTTGCAGGAAGCGAAGGGTGAATTCATCCAGATCTTGAAGACTCTGGAAGCCGAGCTCGGTGACAAGAAGTATTTCGGCGGCGATGCCTTCGGGCTGGTCGACATTGCTCTGGTTCCCTTCACAAGTTGGTTCTACAGCTACGAAACTCTCGCCGGATTCAGCGTAGAGCAGGAGAGTTCAAATCTGGTGGCGTGGGCGAAGCGCTGCTTGGAGCGAGAGAGCGTGGCAAAGACTCTGTATGAGCCGAAGAAAATCTATGAGTTTGTGGGATATCTTAGGAAGAAGTATGGCATGGAGTAAAGGTGAATGTGGGTTTATATGGGATTTGAATTTGTTACCGTTGGTGTTATACTTGTTATGGCTGCTGTTATTCTCTTTTGGTAGCGGAGATTGTGTCTAGTTCTGGTTTGAAATTAATTAAAGGTTTTTTTTATTTGGGGTGGGTTATTAATAAATACACAGTCAATGAAATTCTTTTTTGAGTTATGAATAAAACATAAAAATATTTTCCTTGTTTTCTTAGAAACTTTAATTGAGTCCCAGAGATGGGTTCTGCTAAATTTAATTGGGCATTTTAATGGAAAAGAAGTGTGCATGCTTCTTTCGAGTATTGGCGGCCACCTGCGGGAATCACGTCTCTATCCCTGCATGTCACATTTGTCTTTAAGGCTTGCATGTCACATTTGTCTTTAGGGATGTAAACTAACCGAGCTTGAGCGAGTTCAGGCATGGCTTGTGTTCGGCTTGTTCGAAATTGACTCGTGAACAGTACATTTGTGCTTTACTTGATTTAAGTCTACTTGTTCTTGTTTGGCTCGAAATTGACTCGTTAAAATTAATTCAAAGAAACAGATGCAAAGTGTTGTATTGAATTTTGAACATAATTTATGCAAAAGAAAATGTAGAACCATATTACCAAACAAGTTGTTATGATGTATACAATTGTAGTTATTATCACATCTCAAATTCTCTTGAAACTTTAAGCATAACAAATTGCTTAATAAATATAATTTTTTAAACATCACCTTAAGCATGATTATAAATTATATTATTATGATCATGACAATTAAATATGAAAACCTCATAATTGATATTGTTGTATTTGATTTCCCTCTTGGCATAATCGGAACAAATATATTTGCCTCGGAGTTTTTTTCAATGTGAGATTAAACAATCCCCTTCTTACCCTCATCATGACTCTAATAGGCCAAACATGTGAGCTAGCTTTGTAGGTCTCCTTATTGAATTCAAAGCTCTCAAGCAATTTTTCAACTTAGGGCCCATTTGAGGCAGTTTATTTGGTGTGGTGGCATTTTGAAAACGCATCAGGTTTGTTTGGGTAAACTGCGTTTTGACAACTGAAACATTTTCAAAACGCTGAAAACAGCGTTTTCACGGTGTGGTGGGAGCTTTCTACCTACGGTCTGACTTTTTTAAAAAAAATTAAAATTTGTAATAGCCACCACACCTAAATTATCAACAGATAATTCATTAAGTTGCAGCTACCCCAAACAGACCCTTAATCGATTATTCTCATTCGTAATGGTTAAGTTTTTTTCAATTGAATGCTTCAATGAAGTCGCATCAAGAATGGAAGGACTCTTAGAACTGAGATAGTCAAACAATTGCTCAATAACTAAAACCTTTTTATAGAGACCACCTACTTAAGGTTCATTAAGATATATATTTAATTCAATAAATCATTAATAGTTTGAAATATATGAAAAAAAAAACAAGTCTTTTTTTCAACATCATCCATTACTTCAACTATAGTTTATTAAACAATATATAAGAGTTCACTCATATAATTTTTATAGTTATATCCCATATTTATCTAGAAGACTCTTAGTCTTCTTGGCTAGCATAGTAATGATATATTGAATAAAAATATTCTTAGGGTGCATCCACAAGGCTACAAAGTCTAAAAGAATCTGAATGATCAATCAAAGTGTCTTGAATTAATCTTTTTTAATCCTTCACAATGATTTCTTTTGAGGCAAATTAGGTTACAATTTCGCTTTACTCATATATTTCTTACAACCCTTATCGTTATTGTGAGTCTGTTAGAATTTGTAAATAATTTATGAACTAGAGAGTTCATTAAACATGACATCATCAAATTTATTCATGTCTACAAAAAAGTAGGTATAACACAAAATAGAAAAGAAAAGATAAATAAAGATAATGATAAAAGAACTTTAAAATGAGTTGATAATGCAAATATATAACATTTACATTATAAACATGTGTATGGCAAAAGTAATCGAATTATTGTAATCAATCATAGCTAATATGCCATCTCACCTAAATTTTTGCTACTATAAAATTTTTATTATTTTATCATTTTTATATTCTCTCCAAAGATATAACATGAATAAATATATAGTGTGGACTAATAATTGCACAAAGTATATCAATAAAGTTGCCTTAAAAAAATGAACCAAATTTAACGAGTTGCTACCCTGTAAGTTCTAAGTGTTTGTCAAGGGTAAAGTAGCACAAAGAAACTAGCCCAAAACCTTAAGATGTTAAAAGTGCTAAGAAAATGTGTTGTTTAACAAATGTTCCTGGATACAACTTTTAGGAAAAAAATGCGCAGGGAGGGAAAAACCAAAAGAGAAGAAAAGAACCATAAGGAAGATGAATGCTTTCATGGGATTTTTATTACTAAAAAATGAGTGGTTACAATGAGTTGATTATGAAATCTCTAAGAATCAATATTCACCAAAATACCTCAAAAGTATTTTAAGAAGCTCCCTAAAAATTATCTATATATACCAAAAATTTGATTGTGTGGGATAAGGCATATGTATAGCTGGCCTTATGGGCATGATAAGCCCATCTATTTAAGAGATAAAATCATCACTGAAATTATCTGCTGAGGTGATTTGCTGGCCCTACTCTTCTATATGTCAGCTGTCTTGTACCAACTGTCAAACTAACTTGACGAATTGCCATGTTAGATTCACCCAGCAGACTGATCAATCATATTCATTCGCCAAGCTCGCCTCAATAGTAATACTAAAAATTGATAGAGCACAAAAGGTCAAGATCGACGCAAATGATTGACGTAGGCCATATTTTCCTTTATGAGTAATCTGACGCCTACAAGACAATCTTTTCATTTAAACACCATCAACAAATTTTAGAAATCGTAACTCATATTTTAGTATTAGGGTTAAACTTGTATAAAAGGAGGGCATTGGGAGTGGGAGGGGGAGGCGGGCGCCCCGTTGCAAGTTTTTTGGATCAAATACCCTCTCTCTATCTCTCAGACCTAATTCGAAAGATATCAGGTGGTAACTCTTTAAATGTCTCTTGCTTCCTTTCTCATCTTTTCTTTCTTGCACGCTAACTCATCTTCTCTGCTCTTTCGACGAAGGATCATTATAAAAACATACAGTTAAAATCTTGGGGACACGTACATTTACATTCTTTACACAAGTTTTTTTCAGGTTGTATGAACTCATGAACAATACAAAACCAAATGTTCTAAAAAGATTCAACACTCTCCCTTTGAACATTCATGTCTCATGACGGTTGCCTCTATCTATTGGTTGACATGAACTAAGATATGCTACACACAACACAACTTTAAAAATCTAAAGAGTACATTGCACATGGTATATAATAAAGTGCATAACAAGATAGCCAAATGTGTGCCATAGTTCGATCATCGGGCAAGTTTACAAAGTCGATATGTAGAAGACTGGCTGAATTGGTTTTCCGGACTAGTTGTCTGAGTTAGTGAGCTGAATTTATGACCGAGTTGTCTGAGTCAATTTGTCTTGCTAGGTTGTTGTGCAGACTGACTGGTTGAACTGGTGAGCTGACTCGTGACTTGATTGGAGCCCCGTCGAAGAAGTTTTGCTTATACAAAATGAATTCATTTATAGAGCTCAAAAATATAGTAAACTTCTAATTAAAATGTTAATTTTTTAATTTTAATTTCTATAAAAATAATGAATATGCTAATAAAAAAAAATATTAAAGCATATTTTAACGAAAATAATCTCGGACATAAAGCAAATGGCTACAAGGAGGTCATCAGTCGATTGACTTCAACTATCTCGTGCTCTCTATTTGTCGTTGACTGATCGTCTCTTTGCTTGATCGCTGTTTGGCGGTGAGGTCATTTGAATTTATTATGCGGCGCTTTCTCATCCGCCTCAATCTAGCCTTGAAGGAGTAGGCGCTCTGATTCAGATTAGGGTTCGAAGGAAAACTTAAACCCAGGGATCATGAAGACGAAGAATCCACTCGGCCAGCTTAAGCTCGCCGTGCCTTGTCAAGAGAAGCCAGTAACGGATTTCCTGTAAGTATCAAACCCTACTCCACCGCTGTTATTGTGCTGGGATTTGAATGGATTATCAATTATGTTGCTCGCATTCCTCTGTTGGTTTTGGTGTGAATTCTGATTATTATTATTATTATTAGTATTTTTGCTTTGGGTTGTCAGGACGGCGAGCGGGACTTTCAAGGACGGAGATTTGCTGCTCAATAAGAAAGGGTTGAGATTAATCTCTGAAGAAAGTAGCAGCCAGGTATTTAATTCTTCCAGTTTGTCCCATTGCTAACTAATAATCATAGAAATTTGGTTTAGATGCAAGAAGGATTCATTGAGTTCTATTCGGTTAATAGTGATAGGTTAAATCCTGAGAGCTATTGGGTTGTCCAATTCTTAAATATGGCCAAATCTCTATGCTGCTTGGTTGCAAATTGCTTGATTTGAGCTTTCAAGTGATTTGTCAGGTTTTTTGAATGAAATCCAACCAAATTATTAACTCGACAATAACTATGTTAATCTAAATGGTTAATGAAATTAATCTAAACTCTTCGATCATATATTTATTACAAAAAAATCTACAAGAACGCCCCCTGAAACTTTGCTTTGTTTGATTACTTATCAGTATTATGATAAATAGAAACCAAAACAATTATATTTTAGTTTCAAGGATAATAAGAATGACTATATAACCATTAACACATGAAATTAAAGTGCATGATGCATATCTATATATAAATTTGAATGAAATAACTACAGCAAGAATAATACATGGAGCAACAACAACACGACCAATACCTTTTCTCATACAGTGTTAACATGTATGTTAGTTTCTTGTCTTGCACATGATTGGTGATATGAATCAAACAACCTAAGTCCCTCTTCTCGGTTGTGAACGTGTTGCTATCTAATCTTTTAATGCCATTTGCATTCGCATGCATTCTTCTTAGACCTCTGACCTGTAACCTATGATGAAAATGTGATATGTCATACTTGAGAGAATTTATGAGTATATAGGATTGAATAGGATTAGCTTGAATATAGGGTCATGGTTAGATAAACTTTGCTATAATGATATACAATACCGCAGAAAATATAATGTGGTATTAAAATATTAGAAGGCCATAGAGCAATAAAGCATCATATTAAGCACTAAAATATCCATCACAATAGCTTTGTCGTGTTAAATTTTTATTATCAGCTTGTCATGATGAATATTATAAGTTGTGGTCGTGCTTCCCATAGCATATATCTGTGTATTCTTATTTTTCCTTCAATTGAGACCAAGTTGTTGAGCAGAGATCACAACTGTAATTTATAATTTGAGTCGAATTGATGTAACACAAATTTAAATCGATGTTTAATTAGCTTCATAACATTTATAGACTTAATGACATCTTATTTGGATGCCATGAAATTTAATGATTTATAATTTCTTTTCTAAAATGTGCAGTTCAATGTGCTGACGTACTCAACTTATAGATGACCATGGATTTAATTTATAGTCCAAATAACATATATAATGAATTAGGCTCGATCGATCAGTTCCCATGTGAATTAAGCTAGTTTCACTTTATAAGTATCAACACAAGACATGGGCCCAACACGGGCTGCTTTATTTGGTTGAATTGATTATATAGTTCATTTGATTTAAACAAAAAGACAAAGGTCTGTATAAGGCTTTTTATTTGAACTCATTCATATCAAAATTTATTAAAATAGATAAACGATTTCATTATTTGCTAACGACTGCTGTACTTAGAGAATAAATTGTATTGATTAATGTGCCATTGGATAACTATTAGTCCAACCAATAAGAAGAAAAATAGTTGTTGGAACTAAGAAACATCTAGTTTTTTTTCCGAACTCTGTTCTCATGCAACAAGTCACTTGGAGCAGAATGGTGGCTATTTGTTCTCCATGCAAGGATCATGAGGAGGGGGATATCGGCTGGAGTTTTCTGCTAAAGTTTCTATGGACAGGAAAATAGAGAGAAAAATGGAGTGTGTGAAAAAATAAGAAATTTTGACTGTAATGATTCTTTCTCATGTTGCAACTCTCATGAGCAAGAGGAGTTCTTCAGCACCTTGTTGAAGTTCAATTTTTGACTCATCGTAAAGAATTTGCTTTTAATTGGATTTTTGTAACAACTCCTTGGAGGTATAATCTCACCTCCTTCCGATCTCCATCCCTTTATGTCCCTTGAGTTGTAGAGCACTAGAACTAATTTGTATTTTGATCTTAGACAAACCTATAGGTTAGGAACTGCACTTTCTTAAAAAAAATTGCAAAATACCCTTCTGAGCGCAGTTTCCAAATCCTAAAGAAATAATCCTTGTCCGCATTGGCTCATGACATTGTCAATTGCCATTAATGGTGGCCAGTGTTCACTGACCTAATTTCAGCTGTCTACCGACCGTATCTATGAGGCATGTTTGCCAAACGGACATTTTTGTAAGAAAGTAAGAATTTTTGAGAGCAATGATTCTTCCTCATAGTGAAACTCTCATGAGCAAGAGGAGTTCCTCAACACCTTGCTGGAGTTCGGTTTTTGACACCTCACAATGAATCTGCTGTTAATTGGATTTTTGTAACAACTCGCTGGAGGTATATTCTCGCTCCCTCCAATCTCCACCCCTTTATGTCCCTTGAGTTGTAGAGCACTAGAACTAAGTTGTATTTTGATCTAGACAGGCCTATAGGTTAGGAGACTGCTCTTTCTTAAAAAAAAATTTGCAAAAATAACCTTCTGAGTATACTTTCCAAATCATAAAGAATTCCTCGTCAGCATTGTCTCATGATGTTGTTAACAGCCATTAGTAGTGGCCAGTGTTCACTGACCCGATTTCAACTGTCCACTAGCTGTATTCATGAGGCATGTTCGCCAAACGGGCTTATTTGCATCATGTGTGCCCCTAGAGGCATGAAGTAGGGGATTAATTTAGGATCATTGGATTTAATAAGTAAATTCCAATTGTGTCGATATGATTGCACCATATAATGAAAATGACTTTCTATCACATTAATTATTTTTTAGGGGATTAATTTAGGATCATTGGATTACTTCCTCTAGTGATGAGCAATGTTAGCTTTTGTCCTATTGCCTGTTAATCACCTTGTGAAATTGTTTTTGTCCCTGAAATTATTTGTAGTTTTAGATTAATAATGCTATTATATTATAAATACAAAGAATACTTTACAATGTGGCCTATATACTTTTGTGATTCTATGATGTAGTGACTTGATTTACCTTGAAATCACTCTCTAATCATTTTTTTGTAAATCTCGGTCATCATCATATAATTTCACTTCTCTTATATCCCGGTCATGCCTCAACATTAATTGTGACATAATGAAGTATGTTTCCTCTTCATTACATTAATTTATGAAATAACATAAGATTGCACTAGTAATGACAATTTGTATTAATTTTTAATGGAAATTATCACATAACTATGAGACCTTTCCTTCCAAATTAAAATGTTCTCTCAATGATATTTTGAAATTAAGCATGATGATGATTGAAGATCTCTCATGAATTATTGTATTTGTACTAGTCCTTGCCATGATATTTACTCAATTGCTATGATATTCACTCAATTGATAATAAAACCATTTACGAGATATGAGAAGCTTGTGTATTTGCATAAATTCATTATACTAAGTATCGACCAAGTGGGGCATTGAAGCCTCCAACAATATTTCATCACATGAATCAAATATCATTTACTAAGCAATCTCGACTCAGTGTTAACATGCACATATTTTCTGTCAAATGAGATTGCATGCATGACATATTGAGGCATTTTTTTCATGTTTCGGAGAAAATAATAGATGCTTGCATACCACTCATTTCTCCACTAACATCCTAGGATATGACATATTTTTTTTGTAATTTGAATAGAGATTTATTATTGAATTATATTCGACCATGATTCATGACCCATAATCTTAATATGAATTGGTCAAACTTAGTATGTTGAATTAATCCATAGTGCAATGATGCACACGTCAATCACGCAACTATATGTGTTGATTAAATGATATTGAGATTTTTGAGCTTGTGTTATTGATTCTTTGAGGAACGTGTTTCTTCTCAAAATAGCTTAATTACTAATCTAATAATTCATATTTTAACTCAAAATGTTTTTTATTTTTGGAAAAGATTTCTAAAGATCCTAAATTTTAAAGTGAAAATTTAAAGGTAAATGTGTTGTTAAGGTTAAAAATTCTTCTCTGAATTGGTTTATGTAAAGTCTAAGATCATGCACTAAATTCTTCTATTGTAATTGCCATTAGAGAACAAATATTTCTTATTTTCTTCCAAGACATAACAAGCATTTGAGTTTCATATTATGGTTGAGTTCCTTTAACCCTGCAAAACTCTCAGGAATCTCTATTCCCCTAAATGATTGCCAGCACCTATTGGCAATATTTCGATCTCATTAAGCATTTGTGTTTTAACCTAGTTGTGCTTCTAGTTTTCTTCGGATAGTCCAATATTACATGCATTAACAGATCAAATGACCTATTTGAAGTGAAAATGATGAATAAAAGGTTAAAACATCAACTTATACATTTAAATTCTCAAAAATCTAACATGGATTCACTTAATACTTTATAACTAATCTAAAAAAAAAATTCATTAATTCCTACTCATGAGTGAAAAAACAAACATAAAATCCATTGAAATTAAATAAAAATTTTTAAGTCGAGAAAAATAGAAAAACCAGAAAGATTATTCTTACTCCCAAGTGAATCACTCTTCCAAAGTGTTCCTCCCTTTTGCTTCCTTCTCAATTGTCTCTCAATATAAATTCTCACACTCACACCACACTCAGAAGTGAAACACTAAGACTAAGAAGACTGATAAATACGACAAAAGGTCCCCCTCTTCCGAAGCCTCCCCTCATATAAACTTTCAAGTCAAACCGTTGTTCAAACTTAAGTAAATTAATGGCGAGCATCCGGGCATCGTGATGTGGCGCTGCGACACTACAATAGAGCATGACAACGTTGTATCAGAGTGACCCATTTTGTTTTCTCAGATTATTGAACTAAACCATGGGCGCGTTAACTCTATCTTCTGGGCGCCAAGGTGTTGTTGGTGTGGGCACTGGGGCGCTTGGCTTGAGAGCTGTATTGTTGTGCTTTTGGGTTCTGACATAAAAAAAAATCAGTTTGGGTACTGATGCGCTACTACATCGACGTGCTGCGCCATCGTGCGGGCGCCTCAATGTTACATACTTGGCGCTAGGGCGCTTTGTCACAAATTGTCATTGTACTCCAAAAGAAATATTCTCTTCATATACTACACACATAGACGACATATACCATAAAAAAACATAAGTGTATAAGAAAAATATCACTTAATTACACTACTTTGCACACTTGTCTTGAACCTCCAATGGCTACATGAAGTTACATTTTAATCATTTTGTTTTCAATTCAAATTTGGACCACTAAATCCCATCATAAGAGTATGAGAGCCCTAAGCATATTGTTATCTTAACGATGCGGCCTTCTCTACTTTGCCATTAGCTCATTGGGTCCAATAGATTACCTTTGGACAATGGAATTATAAGTTTTTGATTAAGTTGATAACTTATCCCCTCAATCCTCCAACATTGTAAACCCAAATTCCAGGCACGATTTCATAGTGATGCGGATCATTTGATCGCCTTAAATGAGAGTGTTTTGAAGTATTAACTTGAGATGTAGATGTAAGTGATCTTGAGGATAAACATCCTTGGAAAACTTTGATCACTTAGGACTAAAATAAACTTCAGATTGCTCTCTTCTGTGTAAGGGAAATCTCAACTTGTCCTTTTAAAATCCTCCTTTGTTTTGCATTCAGTCCCGAAACTTCAAAAGATTTAAAAGAGCGCTTTTAAAAGCTCACACCTTTTCTCCCCCCAAAAACCTTTAAAGGCGAATAGTATCATCATGATAAAGAGTTGTGATTGTGAAGGTGTGATTTGATGCTTAATCACATTTGTGAAGTTGAAAAGGTGTAATTAAATGTTGCTCTATGTTGAATTTTTAAATTGTAGAATCCCAATGCGTATTTTGATTAAAAAAAAATCACCATCCCCTTTTCAGTCTTCCTTTGTTTGTCGAGATAATTTTAATTTTTAGCAAATTATTTTTAAAATTTTCAAGTTTATAGAATTTTTGTAGGGTACTTATTTGTCCTGTTTTGACCATCAATGAAAAAAAAAACATTTTCACAACATAGCATTTTTAGAAATTAGAACATAGTACTTTATAGAAATATATAAATATAAAGCATGACACAAATTTCTCAGAAAAATAAAATAAAATGGTTCATATATTATTTATGAGGTGTCATTTTTGCTCTAAACTATCTAATTTGATTCCAAATAGCCAACTGACTTTTCGAATTTTATCTAAAATAATCCAATTAAGGAACTGAGTTAAACAAATTCATAATCATAAATTAAAATGTCCCTTGCAAATAATTAAGGAATTATTTTTGACATTTTTCTCATTTTTTATAGGCCAAATTTTCTTTTAGCTAGGGGTGCACATCTTTTCAGCTCTACTCAGAATCATAAATATATCTGAATAGTTTGGGTTCCGGTATCTATGAATCCTAAAATGGTCCAAATCAAATGGTTCCTAACAGGGTTTGTAGTTTGGGCTGAAATTAGTTATTGAATTTAAGAAGAAAAACTTTGGTGATGGGGAGGGTGAAAGAGGGGATTTTCAAGATTCACTTCAAAGAAAGAACAACCAAGTCCATCATAAAAAGAAGACCACCATAATTTACCTATCGCATTGTTTGCTTACAAAGAAAATAATCCAATATCAACCCAGCATGTCATTTCATTCCATCCCACGGGTATTTATTGGAGGACAAATCCGAGCATCCATAAGATGATGATTTAAATGTATACATATAGTCTTCTTCATCTTTATGACTTGTCATCTTCTATGATTCTGAAATAATAAATGACATTTCATTTTTTTCACTGATTGAAGGGTTGAAATTTGGACTCTTCAGGGCTAAGCTAGTTCAAGATCGCTTTAAATTGTCAACAATACTCTTAGATCTTTAAAATGTAAATGTAACAAAATGTATGATATTGCAAAGCTAGAAAGGCAAAAATGCAAATGCAAAATTACTAAAAGAAGAAAATATGCGTTCAAAAAAAAAAAAAAAAAATCTAGGATGCTCGATAGCAACACAAAATAATCCGAAAGATAAACAAATTTAATTCTTAAAGAGAGTTGGACAAACCAAGGGCCAAAACAAGCAGCCTGCAATCTCTTAATTCCATAAAAGCAGAGGTTAAAAAAAAGAAAATAATCAAAATGCAATGAGGCAAGGGATGGAATTTGAAAAATGTAAGGATTAAGAAAACAAAATGGAAGGAAGGACATACTCACCAAAGAAGGTCAACATAAAGAAAAATCACAGAATTCATTTTGCAAGCAAGCATGAACTTAAGAATATTTACTTAGATACCAATTTTATGATGGGTGAAAAAGGAGAGTTCTAAATATAATTTCTATAGCAGTACCCCATGTCCTCCCAAAGGAAAAGTCAACCAAGCATTACCTTTAACATTAGTAATAAAACAAGTGAATATTAACTCAGCATATCATTTCAATCTATATATCACAATGATATTTATAGAAATAAAAAGCACAAAATACATTGATTGATGATTTAAGCATGTCTTTGCATCTTCTTCTCTATTACTTTTTATCCTTTTGACTTTTTTATCCTTTTGACTGCTCATCTTTTATTATTCACAAATTGAAAACGATGACTTATTTTCTCAATATATTAAGGGATAAACTTAGGAGCCTTCATGGATAAGCTACTTGAAATCTACTTTAAATCCTTGAAAATGCTCTTCATTTTCATGAATATATATATTCTCTTCAAATTTCAAATATAACTTAGAAAGATATTGGAATAACATGAGTTGAGTTATTCTACATCATTCGGTATGGAGTGGCGGTGGATGTGCTTAATTGATTCAGTTGGTTCTTTGTTTTTTGGGTATTTTCTTACCCCCACTTCTATCTATTTATTTGATATATAAACATCACACTCACCTTTTATGGCATGTTTTTTGCACGAATTATTATGACTGAGAATGGCTTGATGTAGCCACCGGATGTTAAAGATGTGGATGTACAATTCACTATGGAGGACTTTGATACTGTTAAGGTTATTGGAAAAGGAAGTGGCGGTGTGGTTCAACTTGTTCGACACAAATTTACAGGAGCCTTATTTGCCTTGAAGGTATTTTGCAGCGAATTTTCCCCCGCAAAGTTACATGTTTTATTATGGTCTGCTTACAGAGACAAAATTTTGTGCGATAGAACTATATTAATTAACCAATCTGGATTAATATTGGAGTTCCATTTGGCTTTTTCTAGAGCCAATTTGTTGGAATGCTTTAATTAACGAAGGCTAGTGGAATTCAAGAAAACGCTCTCTTGTATAATCTTATTCTAGTAACTAGTGCAAAACAGGCTTTTTGTGAATATATTCAAAATAAATTGATATTGCTGTTTTTTATTCTTGTTTCCACGTTAAGGGCATTGGATTCTGAATTATTTGAAAAGTTTAAATTATGTCCTGAAATAGTGCTGGTTTTGATTTACACATTTCAAACTATCCGTTGCTTGGTATATTTGTATGTGTTTGTTGTATTCCAACTTTTTCCATGCATGAAAATGACCAGCGTTCATTTTGATATAGTCAATTTTTTGTTCTACCGTCAAACATTTAATGAACTTGGTAATTCGAATGATGTATTAATCATTTTTTCAAGAAACTCCTTTATCTAGGAACTGTTTAACACACACTTGACTAAAGCAAAAGTCTATCCAATAATAAGAATTTAATGCTCGATTCTAATTCAAATTATAAAATACATGGATTTCTTATACGAGGGATGCATACAATTTATTCTTTCTCCGCCTTGTAATATGTTGTGCTCCCCTGACTCATATACAGAACGTATTTCTGGCAGGGCATCCAGATGAATATTCAGGAGACTATCCGCAAGCAGATCGTCCAAGAGATTAAAATAAATCAAGCCTCACAATGCCCCCATGTAGTTGTTTGCTATCATTCATTCTACCATAATGGAGTTATATCTCTTGTCCTTGAATACATGGACCGGGGTTCTGTTGCCGATATAATCAGACAAGTCAAAACAATTCTCGAGCCTTATCTTGCAGTTCTCTGCAAACATGTATGGCATGAATTGATAAAAGAGAGTTTTACATACGTACCCCTCTATTCCTATGTATTTACATATCTAACACCTAAACTTCAAATATTACATATGTCACCTTATCCATGCATGAAAAGGTGTATTCAACTTTTTAAATGTCAAAATTGTGGTATTTTGATGTGATATAAAATATTTGGGTGGTTTAATTGTAAGAAGTAAAATTTATTTGTTAGATATGTAAAAACATAGGAATTGGGTGTTATGTATTTTAAATGACCTATTATTTATACAATATCCATTTTGTTACTTGTACAGTGTTGAGACACATTATTTGTATTCAGGTTTTAAAAGGTCTGGTGTATCTTCACCATGAGAGACATGTAATTCATAGGGATATAAAACCATCAAACTTGTTAGTGAATCACAAAGGTGAAGTAAAGATAACTGACTTTGGTGTGAGCGCCGTGCTTGTTAGTTCCATGGGTCAGCGAGATACATTTGTCGGTACTTACAATTATATGGCGGTATGTTTAAATAATCTTGTTTGATTGATTGATGGAAGCCCTTTCCTGCACCATTGAATAAGCTTTGTTTTCATTAATTCAATGAGAGAAGTGTCAAAGTAGTCTCCTCACTCTTTGCAGGGGTTATTTTTAGTCCAAGAATTTATAAAATTACCAATTTAATCCTCATTCTATCTTAATAGAGGACTATTTCAGCTCCAATTTAATTAGTATGGAGAGCAACTTGGCCTTTTATTGACCCTTGGACTAGAATAGCCTCATGTATATAGTCAGGGGGCTATTTTGGACTCTACTAGTTTATTATATTATTCACTTACCTTGCTTGTTCCAAGATTTTGACACTTCTTTTTGTTCTTATTTGTATATGTCAGCCCGAACGGATTAGTGGAGGTTCATATGATTTTAAAAGTGATATTTGGAGTTTGGGTCTTGTTATACTTGAGTGTGCTATTGGCTGTTTTCCTTATAGGCAGATTGAAAACGATGAAAGCCCATTGAGTTTTTATGAACTTCTAGAGTCTATTGTAGAAGAACCACCACCTAGTGCTCCATCAGATCAATTCTCGCCGGAGTTCTGTTCATTCATATCCTCTTGGTAAGTTCAACATTGTCATATGTTGTCTTGGTGAATCTTTACTTCTACTATGATTGATTTGTGGAAGATTTAATTACATACTACTTAAATCCTATGTATTTTCATATCTAACACCTAAACTTCAATTTTTACATATTTTCCACGTTACATATGCATAAAAAGGTGTATTTCATTTTTCAAAAGTTAAGATAGTGATATTTTTAATGTGATATGAAAGATTTGGTCGTATAAATGTAAAAAATAAGTTTAGGTTTTAGATATGTAAATACATAGGCATTGAGTGGTTTAATGGAATGAGAACCTCTAATACTTAAAAGCTTTTTCAAATTATTATCATTTGTTTATTTTGAAATTTTTGCTCAAACGAAGAAGTATTTAATGGGACGAGACATTGATATACAAGAAACCATGAATGTAATTACCATATTCTTAGTTTTCTTTGATTTCTGTCTTCCTGAGATGGAGTCTGATAACCACTATGCCATGACCAAAATATCTGTTAGGTACTATTAGGTTAATTAAAATTTTGGGAAAAACTTGAAATCACTGCTTTTAGCTTTCAGTAATATTATTAGGTTTGATTATGTCATCACACTCTGAAAATGAAGAATGACCCTGCAAAACTTAAGGTATGCTTTTCATGAGCTTCTTACTTCCAACAGGAAACAAACTTTATTCTCCCTTTAAAAAAAGTAAAGATTTTGAGTGCTTTTCAAAATAAGTTGATTTGTTTTTAAAAACAAAATATAACATTTAAAAATTATAACAATCAAATATGTTTACAAAAGCAAAAGAAGAAAATAAAAAAAAATGATATCAAATAGGCCCTAAATTTCTTCGATATGTTGTATTTATTAAATACAAAAGGATTTGTAGGCGCTCTTTAAGAGTGAAATGTTTTCTTACTTTGAGGAACTTGTGTTCTATTGTATTCTCTTTTGATGATTTTTTTTTGCAGCATTCAGAAAGATCCTCAACAGAGAATGTCCAGCTTGGAACTTCTGGTTAGTGTTACAAATTGAAGTTATGGAAGAATTTCTGCCTAAGGCTTTCATTTTTGTTTACTTGCTCTTTGTTTGATTGCAGAGTCATCCCTTCATTAAAAAATTTGAGGACAAAGACATTGATCTTGGGATCCTTGTCAGCAGCTTGGATCCTCCTGTAAATTTAGATTTTTAGGGCATTGCTATATGAGAATTTCCCTGCAAATTGAGCTTTCCAACCACAAATCGAAATTAATGGCGATTTTTAGCTATGTAGTCCTGCATGATCTTCAAAATTAGCTTCCAGGATATGGGTTGGACATGCATTAAGAAACGTCAGAATACCATTATTTCATCAGGAGGGACAGTCAGTTTAAGATTTTTGGCAACTTTTGTGGTGACTTTCTACCATTAGATGAAGCTATTTTTTTTGTTTCTCAAAACTAGAAAAACTACTGTTGCTTTCAATTGGGTTCAGAAAACCTGTTACTATTCTGGATAATACAATATACATTAATTCAAGTTATATATAATGTGATTGCCTGTTTATATTTTATTATGAGAGAACCAATTTTTTATTGCTTCCTTCTCATTTTACGCAATAGAACCATTTATTTTGTTTTTGGTTGTCAGTGGTTGCTAGTAAATTTTCTGATGCATGAAATCGCATACAAATGCTGCCAAATGAATGAAAAGTTTCACAATTTTGATGATTTAGTTGTTCGATCTGAGTGAAGTTAGCTTTATCTATGCTTCATTGAAACTCTTGCAGAGGGTTGGGGGAGCAGAAAATGATAAATAGAACACTGACATTTTATAAAGGGTATCAGAGCATTACGTAAGCCTGAAGATGGGAACTAAGTGTCATACAAAACAAAATGTTACGCCATGGGAGCTACCATTTGAATCCTAGATGGAACACAGTGTTACATGATGCAAGCCACCACTTAAATATATTGGAGTTGCCTGTAGAATCCTATGTGTTTGGTGGATGATTCCAAAATATAGAACATTGACAAGAACATTAGTTATAAGTGGAGGGAGATTGTGAAACTTTCTAAGTAGAATGGAGTCGAACTCTTAAATATTTAGGTGTTTTTTGGTGTAATAGTGAAATTTCATCAGAAACTCCAAAGTTAGGCGTGCTTGCATGAAGCTTACTTTTGGGATGGGTGACCTCTTCGGAAGTTACACCAGCGATGCTATTAGGCCAAAGAGAAAAATATCTCATTTGGTGAGAGTTCGGGCTATTACAGTTGAGCAGAGAAATTTTATCCTATCATTTTACTTTGGCGCAAAGGTCCAATACAAACATAGATAAGAGAATGTCAAATACCATTGAATACCACCACTTTCCATCATTATCATTGAATTGGCTAGTGGCTACCACCACTAATTTTTTATGCAACATTCAATTAAAAGGAAAAACAACCACAACAAATATTTATGATAGCAACTTATTTTTATTTGATGTTAGAATATAAATAAAATAGAACCTTAAAGTGCTTTGATAAATGACTAACAAGTCTTTATTGTATATATGAATATACATACTATGGTTGCCAATGAATGCCATAGTATGTAAGTACATTTATCATTATTCTTTTGATATTAAGGATTGTACATAACCTTGTGCTATAAACTTCTAAAGAATAAATTATCATTCGTGATATAAAATATTAGTTTAATGTGATGATATTTATTATATCAATATTACATTATAAATTGTGCCTTTTTTATTATAAATATTGCATGCTATTTCACTTATAATCTATGTTTTAATGAAAAGAGGTCAACTGTTTTATTTGTATGACATATTTGCTAGTTAAATTTTTTTTAAATAAATCCTAACAAAACAATTCCTATGTTTTTACATGTCTGACACATAAATTTTACTTTTTAATAAAACGTAAGTCTTTCATATCTCATAAACAATATTACTATCACTATATTTTTTTAAAGTGAACAACTCCTTTTTTTAAGAATATCTAAGGTGTTATAAATCTAAAAATTAATATTTAGCCTGCCGCCGAGCCAAAAATATTTTAAAAAATATTTCAATCATTTTCATTGGAACTTCTTAATGTTATTAAAAATATTATAAAAATATTATTGTAAACTTTTAAAGTAATATCATAAAACATACGGTGATAAATCTTCTTAATAATTTATAATATTTGATCATCAATTCAAGCCTTATATTCTTATAAAAAAATAACCACATATGAATTAGGTTACTTGAAAAAGCATTTAATATTTCAATATTTACTATTTAAGAATGGACCACAAATACAAAAAAAAGATAATTTTTAATATATATATATATATATATATATGTTTAAACGGAATAGCCAGATGCTATTATACGAGCCTCCAACCACTCCTAATGTGTTTTATAATTCGAGTATCACCCTTCTTAAAGCTCACGTCACCAGAGAGTGATTCGAATCCCTGGCCTGAGTTGTCTTACACCAAAGATGCCAACTAACAGACAGCATTTTTAATATTTTCTTAGTTGAAGGACATTAACTAGTCATATATGTGAATAAAAATCCAAAAAAATTCATATAAAATTCATGTCATCCTGTTATTTGCTCTCTTTGCTCTCTCCCTATTCTCAGCACTCTATTCGTCCCTTTGATAATTTTGAATTCAACAATATTAAAATTTACGAGTTACATATATAATGACATGGTATGCAAATCTCCCACTGTTAATACGAAGAGGACCATCTTTTTTAGCTGAATAAAATGAATCCAATGATGCGCACATCACCCCTTTTCCCGCACGAATCATGGCGTCTTTTTATCAACCCAGCTAATCCTGCACCGTTGATTCATGCGGTCCCGCCAAGCAGGGGGCAGGCAGCCCGGCGTTCCGCATAATGAATCCATGCGGACATCCATGGCCATAGGTTTCCACGCCAACTGATAGTTAGATCTTCACCCGGAAACCCATTAATATCCTAAAATTATAAGTTGGGCCCCATATTTATTTCAATTCAATCCTTTATCGTGCCTTCGATCCCCTCGGTTCTCACGGTAGAGCGGTAGGGTGAAAGATGAGGGAAGAGGTTATAAGTTCGGGAACGGTGGAGGCGGTGGCGCTTGCCAGGTCTTCATCTCCCCCGACGCCGGCCGCCAAGTATGTATCTGCTCCATCTAATCATCTCCGAAGCTTTTTTCGTTCCAATTTGTGTTTCCTACCGAGTTGCGGGGATACTAGGCCCCGCCCATGCCCTAGGATAGTTATGGGGGAGTTTATGGTATAGTTTTTCAGCTCAAGCGCGCCCGCAATTGGAAACCCTATTTTTGAGGTCAACCGTGCTGTGAGATGCTTTCGTTCTTTATCATAGGATCGATTGGCAGGCTCTGTGGCGGTAGATTTTGCTGCTTGGTAGGTTGAGGGTGGAAACTGAGCTGTTTTCCGTTTTTGAAGTATCGGTACGGGGGTGAGTGCTTTGGTGGAGTTGCATTGCCGGATTGAAAGAACCAATTGTTGTAATTTTGTGGTTGATTCCCTATTTCTTGGAATTGTGTTTAGTATTAGGGTTTCGTAGCGCATATGTCAAGATGGAGTGGAAATTATGCATCTTTCAAATAAGTTTTATTTATTTATTTTCTTCGTTTAGAAGTATTGTAGAAGTCGAGACTAAAGTGATAAATGCGATACAATCTGTTGAGCTTGTGAGACATTTTTGATGGAAAAATTCAACAAACTCTCTTGCGATAAAGTGATAAATGCGATACAATCTGCTGATTTTTCTTGTCACGCTATTTTATGGGACTGTTTTTGCCAATGGATTTCTAAGCATTCCTG